ACAAAGGGCAAAGATGGATCCAAAGTAACTAAACAGGAGCCCAGAAAATTGTCTGCCAGATTGTCAGCAAAACCTGCTCCACCAAAACCTAAACCCAGACCAAGAAAAACATCTGCTAAGAAAGAACCTGGAGCAGAGGTTAACAGAGGTGTTAAAGCGAAGAATGAAGGAAAGCTGGAAGGGAAAGTACTACACCATCTGGAAATGGTGAAACTAAAGCTGAAGGGGCACAGAAAACTGAATCTGTAGATAACCAGGGAGAATGAATTGTCATGAAAAATTGGGGTTGATTTTATGTATCTCTTGGGCCAACTTTTAAAAGCCGTTTTTACTTAGTATTTTGTAAATGCTGATTTTTTAGGACTCTACTAGTTGGCATACAAAATTTAGTGCTGTGCAAACTGTGGTGTTATAGTTTTACTGTGCATATTTGAGTTTTTCATGCAGTTTTTCTTGAGCAATAATCAGTGGTGCTTTTGTACCTAGGTTTTATGTGATTTTAATAAAACATGAATAGTTGTAGCTACCTGCTGACAATTTGTGGTTTAAAATAAAAGCTTTTCTTGTTTGCAAAAACAAAACAAAATAAAATAAAATAAATAGTTGCCTTTCCATAGGTATATGTGTCAGCTCCAAAACAAATGTGCAAAGGAAATTTATAAGCACTTAAATTTAAATGTCTATATATAAAGCCTTGTGAATCTCATTTATTGTTAAATTTAGTATTAGTGAAAAATTTTGGTTAAGCAATTTTAATATTTATATTTTTCTCAAAAATGGGCTCTGTAGTTGCAAATAAGTCGTAGCTAAAATGAGGCAAATGTACAACTTATGTCTTAATTCCATAAACAAAACTATAAAAATTTTCTCAAAAAATTTTCAGCAAAGATTATATTTAAGTGGTGTGTGTGTGCATTTTAATGTGTTTGATATGATTGGGAAAGATGGTTTCTCTATCCTTTGAACAAAATAGAGTCCGTCTTAGAAACTATAAAGATAGGTAATTCCCAACAAGTCTCTGTATTTTCCAGAAATGTTCCCTCTTGTCTCTAAAATAACATGCCCATTTTTTGAAAGAAGCCTCTATGTGGAAACTTTAAAAGTCAAGGAAGTCCAGTAAATCCCTACAGGTCCCAGAGTATCTGGGACTACAGGTGTGCACCACCATGCCCAGCTAATTTTTGCATTTTTCTTTTTGTTGAGATGGGATCTTACTATGTTGCCCAGGTTAGTCTTGAACTCCTGAGCTCAAGTGATCTGCCTGCCTCAGACTCCCGAAGTGTTGGGATTACAGGCATGAACCATCGCACCTGGGCCTATTTCTGTTTTTGAATAATGCATTGAAGTTTTCTTTGTGACCTGATATTGAATATTTCATGTGTAGAAGGTATAGATTTTTCTTTTTAGGTTAATACATTGCTGGGCTATATGTCTGTAGCGTTCTTTACATCTTATTGAATGTACTGTTTCTTCTCTACACTTACTGCCTTGAGCTGAGAGAGATGATTCAAGTGCCCTATTATTGCTATGTTATTTTCTTTAATTTTGTCCTTGTATCTCTTGTAGTTTCTGCTTCATCAGAGTTGTGCTACATTATTGAATGCATATTAAAAACCATTATATCTTCATTGTGAAATTATTGCATTTGGCATTTTAAAGCATCATTCTTAGTCTTATTGAATGGTTTTGATCTAATCTGGGAGCAAGATCATGACTCCTGATTTCTAAATTTTGTTTTAATCTGCACTTTCCTGATCTGTATCAACACAATCACCCCCTTTATGGATTGTTTTCCGACTCTCCTTGATCTGGATACCTCTCGTAAGGAGCATAGACTTGTATAGAGCTAATATGAAAACTTGTTCTTCTAACAGTGAGTTTTTGGCTCTGGACATTATTATTATAAATATGTTTGACCTCAGTCTATCACGCTCTTTTATGTCCTATTTATGAAAACATATATCTTTTACGTAAATAACATCATGCCCCCTGTTGTCTGTGGTATTTGCTTTTTTCTAAAATGTCTTTTGGTGTTGAGGAAGGCTCATATTTGTATTGTTACCTTATGGTACATCTTTATGTAACATGTATTCTGTATTCCCCCTTCCCTTTATAAATGGCATGCTCACTCCCTACTCTAAGTAATAATGAAATTTTCTGGAAATTTTCGCCCTACCCTCCTTCTTCCTTCCTCAGTATCTAATGTGAAGTGATATCCTTTTACTCCCAGTTTTTCCTTGTAGGCATATGCGTACATAAGACCATCAGAGAGCTGACTCTACTTTCTGTATGCCTTCTCTTTCTCCCTTCATTTTTTTGTTGACTGTTTTATATTTAAGTTTTCAATGCATACAACATGAAATGCTATTCTGTCACCTTTATCCACATATGTAGTCTTAGTTCTACAGTTGAATATATTTAAATGTGCATCATCAGATTGTATGCCAGACAACTCTGTGATTCTGGGTTTTGTGTGTGTGTGTGTGTGTGTGTGTGTGTGTGTGTGCACTTATTCTCTAGCAGTTCCCCCAGAAAGGGCTTATGGGAGCAATATTCCCTGAGTCTTTGCATTTCTTTGCTGTTTTTCTTTGGACTTTATACATATAAGCCAATGTGAATGGATATGAAATCCATTTGTCCTCAGAAGAACCACCTGGCCTTTCACACATTTACCCTTTACCTCTCTGACACCAGCTCTAGGATTTTGTTTGGTGTTTTAGTTTTCTATCACTACTGTAATAGTTTACCATAAGATTAATGCCTTAAAATGACAAAAATGTTATTCTCTTACAGCCTTGAAGGTCATAAAGCTCAAATCAAGGTGGCAGAAGGGCTATGTTACTTCTGAAGATTTTAGAGGAAAATTTCTTGCCTTTTCTAGATTCTAGTCTCTGCACATTCTTTGGCTCATAGCACATAGCTACAACCACTAGTTTCATTACCACTCTACCTTTTACTGACTTTGATCCTCTTGTCTCACTCTTATAAGAAACCTTATGATTATATTGGACTCACCCAGATAATCCAGAATAACCTCCCCCCATCTCAAAATCCCTAACTTAATCACATCTTCGAAGTCCCTTTTCCATATAAGGTGACGTATTCCCAGATGCTGGATGTCTTAGGAGGTCGTTATTTAGCTTACATTTTGTTTTTGTTTATCCCACATTTAGCTTACGTTTTGTTGTTGCTTATCCCACATTTTGTTTTTCCTTGGCTATTTCCCTTACTTCCTATAAACAACTAACTCAGTGAAAAATATGCTTTATGCAGGATCGAGTTATTTTATCTTCGGAAATCTTTCTGAGTATCTAGTCTTGTGTACTGACAAAAGCACAAGATCCCCCAAGGAATTTCTAAACAATATTGGCTCCAAACCTTAGAACCAGCAACTGTAGGGTCAGGTTTATAAATCTTTGAGAACTGTTCTGGTCACTCTTGTAATAAACCAGAATTGATAGTCTCTGCCCCACAACATGGTTTGTATCTGGTGGGTAAGACATCACAAGAGGTCCGAGCTGACACTGATGGTGAGGTAGGAAGGGAAGTACAGCGTTTTGGCCCCTGGCTCAGTACCTGGTAACACAAGCCACATTCTTTTTTTTTTTTTTAATTTATTTTATTGCATTTTAGGTTTTGGGGTACATATGAAGAACATGCAAGATTGTCGCATAGGTACACACGCGGCAGTGTGATTTGCTGCCTTCCTCCCCATCACCTATATCTGGCATTTCTCTCCATGCTATCTCTCCCCAACTCCCCACCCCCCACTTTCCCTCCCCTATTTCCCCCCAACATACCCCAGTGCGTGTTGCTCCCCTCCCTGTGTCCATGTGTTCTCATTGCTCAACACCTGCCTGTGAGTGAGAACATGCAGTGTTTGATTTTCTGCTCTTCTGTCAATTTGCTGAGAATGATGGTTTCCAGGTTGATTCATGTCCCTACAAAGGACACGAACTCATCGTTTTTTATGGCTGCATAATACTCCATGGTGTATATGTGCCACATTTTCCCTGTCCAGTCTATCATCGATGGGCATTTGGGTTGGTTCCAGGTCTTTGCTATTGTAAACAGTGCTGCAATGAACATTCGTGTGCATGTGTCCTTATAGTAGAACGATTTATAATCCTTTGGATATATACCCAGTAATGGGATTGCTGGGTCAAATGGGATTTCTATTTCTAGGTCTTTGAGGAATCGCCACACTGTCTTCCACAGTGGTTGAACTAATTTACACTCTCACCGACAGTGTAAAAGTGTTCCTATTTCTCCACATCCTCTCCAGCATCTGTTGTCTCCAGATTTTTTAATGATCGCCATTCTAACTGGCATGAGATGGTATCTCAATGTAGTTTTGATTTACATTTCTCTGATGACCAGTGATCATGAGCATTTTTTCATATGTTTGTTGGCCTCATGTATGTCTTCTTTTGTAAAGTATCTGTTCATATCCTTTGCCCACTTTTGAATGGGCTTGTTTGTTTTTTTCTTGTAAATCTGTTTTAGCTCTTTGTGAATTCTGGATAGAAACAGTCATTACAGTGAATCGGCGACCAACAGAATGGGAAAAAAATTTTGCAGTTTACCCATCTGACAAAGGGCTGATATCCAGAATTTACAAGCCTCATTCTTTCCCTACGCAGCCGCTAGGGGCCTTCTTCCATTTATTGGTAATCTTCAATCAGCTTTCCTGTGTGACCTGACAGGTGAATAGAGGTTTAACACTATAGAATCAGAGGTAGTGAAAGACCAAGAAGAATTTTGCCTATCTAAATACTAATTGTCCTTTAAGGGCCATCATAAAGAAAACACCTTTTGTATGAAACCTTTGCTGATCCATCTCTGCCAAGTATGAAGTATGATATATAGTAGGAATCTCGTACAATATTTTCTCAACTACTTGCTCTTCAAAGGTAAGGACTATGTCCACTTTATCATCTCATAACTCTACAGCCCTTGGCCTGTCATGTCAAGGGAAGGTGATTGAATGAGACGTAGAGGCCAGTTGCTTAAGATTTTATTGATGCATTAGGGTAGATGGGGCAATAGAGAGATGTCAGAGATAAAAATAGTTCTGAAAACCCCACAAGATAAGATAGTTCAGTACAAAGAAGTTACTTGCTCCATGTCTTCCTGCTCCTGAGAGGGTCTGCACTGCAAAGCAGGTAAGAGAGGGCAGTTTAGGATAGAAAGCTCCTTGCAGAAATGATCTCATTGAGAAAGACCTAAAAGAGAAGCTGCATAATAAAGAGCCGATGTCCAGGGATGCACCCACTAGACTGGCCGTGCAGGACAAGCCAACCTGTCTCCAGCTATCTTCTTCCAGTACTAGGCATTGGAGTCAGGGGGAGTCATGGTTGGTTGCTTCTCAAGTAGGAATACAGCTCCCTAGCGGTGATGCCTTGCTTCTCTTCTGGCTGGGCTGCATCCTGGCCCTGTGCTGAGGAAACACTTGGATGCAGGCTGCCATGGTCCGGCCTGAGGATCGCTGTCTCCCTTGAGTGGTCATCAACCCATTCCTCAACAACCACTGCGGGCTGTCTGTCTCCCTGCCTTTCTGTCACACTAGGGCTGCTCCAGTCCTGCCTTCCTGATGCAGTGCTTGCCCCAGTCTGGGCCTGTCCCTCTGGTACTGTCTCTCCTGTCTCAGGCTTGCTCACTGGTGTCCATCTTTGGCCACTGCCAGACTCTGTCTGGGTCTGTCCCTGTTCTCTAGTTCCTCCATGACTTACAGTTTGGCTTCTGTCCTGCTCCACAGTCTGGGTGTGTGACCCTGCCTGTGTCTGAGCGTGTCCTCCTGTCACAGCCTGGCTGGTCTGGCTCCTGCCTTGACCGTGGGTCTCAGTCTCTCTGTTCTGGCCACTGGTGGACTCCTGTGTCTGGGTGTTGGTGCCTCCTATCTGGTGGCTGCTGCCCTGATCCAAAGTCTGGGTGGCACCTGCTTTGGTCTGAGTTCCAGATCCAGTCACAATCTCACCTGTCTGGCAGGCTCTGTCTCGTTCCCTGGTCTGTGGCTGTCTCTCTGGCCTCATCTCCCTGGTCTGAAGACTCTGGCCTTCACCAACTGCCTGGATTTGCTGTGTGTGCTCCCAGAGCTGTGTCTGTGGGCTTGTTCTCTCCTGGCTCTGGAACTCAGCTTGCCTGTCATGGCTGCTGACCCACACAGAGACGGTGGCCGCACCCTGGGTCTGAGCCCCAGGCCTGTTCTGCCCCCTGGAAGTCTGCTCGCACTGTCCCTGGCTGCTCCCCTCACAACGCTGCCCTTTCCCCGCCCTTCCCACTTCGGTGCCACTTCTCTGTCCTTCCCCCAGCTCCTGCGAGGCCCCAGGGTGGAGCCTGCCAGACCCTTGAGAGCTGCAGGCTCCCTCAGGACTCTCGCTCAGTGTCTTGAAGCAGGCCTGGGCCACTTTAAACACCAAGACCAGGAATTCCTTGAACTCCACAGTCCCTGTGTGGTCTTCATCCAGCAGACGCAGGACCTCATCCACAGTGGTCGGATCGTGGGGTTTCTGAGGAGAAGATGAGATGGAATCAGCATCCCTCCCCTGAGGAGGACGTGGGCAGGCCCCTTCCACTCTGCTGCCAGCTTCCCCGGCCTCAGACCCCACACTCCACACACCTACGGCTGGAGCAGCAGCAAGACTTAATTGCTGTTTTTTTTTTTAGTCCTGTCTCTCTCCCTTAAGTGTAGGGAGTATTTTTTGTAGCCTCTGTTTGGCACAATTTCTGGCCTACCGGAAAATTAGGTAAAGATTTATTGAAGAGTGAATGAATTATTGAATTCACAATGCAACTGTCTGGGCTTTCAGGTTGATGGTCTGGGCTGCCCGTGGCACCTTGCTCCTGGCACTGAGGGCTTAGTCTCTTCAGCAGGCTCAGCACAAAGAGCAGCAGGGTGGGAACACAGCCCCATGGGAATTCTGTGCGCTCCTCACTGAGGCCCAGATGATTTCCCACGATAAAGAGGGAGGGGTGCAGTGGGCCTGCAGAGCTGCCCTGGGCATGGACACAGCATCCTTCTGTGCCCACATATCCTTGACCCCAAGGCCATCATCATCCCGGTTGCTTTAGGCGCAAACCAAAGACAGAAAAGGGCATGAAAGCCTTGGTTCTGGTTTGCCAGATGGGGTGGGGTGGGGTCCCAAAGTCTTTCCCTAGTTATTATTAACAACCTGCCCTTCAAAATTTCATTTCTGATGTGATCAGTCCACTAATATTTTTGAGTAACTTCTTTGTGTAAGCCCAGAGCTATGCTTCTAATGAATGCCTACGAATGGATGATTACATTTCAGATAGACGTGAGAAATGGTCGCTGTATCAAGTTTGAGAGGCAGAAGAAAGCAGCAATTATTTTCATTCTGAAACATTCCAAGGCCCTGCTCCTCCCTGAGTTGTCCGTTTCGAGCTCTTTTAGCTCATCTTTAAGTTAGAATTAAGTAAAACCAAGGCACTTTCTGTAAAGGGCCAGGACTCGCCAACTCCTGTGACCATCCCTTGTTCTTTCACCTTCTCTTTTCCTGCCTGCACAGCTGCCATCTGTCCCGGCAGGCCTGGGTTTAGCTGCTGCCTCTGCAGATTCCCCAGGCAAGGCCTCTGCAGGCAAACAAGGTTTCAGTCTCCTGCTACGTCCCCTCTCTGCTCAGCTCAGCACGCCATACCACAATCACATCGGCAAACTCCTGCTCCAAGAGTCTTTTCAGCTCCCCTCTGGTGAGGGCTGTGCAGGTGCCCTCCGTCCTTGCATAGCGCCTGAAGGCGTCGATGATGCCATTAATGTTTCGCAGTAACTGAGGCATCTTTGAAATCAACCTGGAAAAGATGAAAAGTCTCCTTGGAGGCCCCATACTCAACTCCGTTGTTTCCTTTAGAGCATGTCTGCGGCTAGGTCTTTCTTTGCATGTTCAGCTCTGCTTTTGGTTTTCCTTTGTCCTTTCCTATGCAATGCATTGTATGTATGGGAAAAAGGAGCACACAGGATGGAGGCAGGCTCCTGAGTCAGAATTAAATGCTGGCTCCCTACCTACCTAGGGTGTGAGCTGGGACAAGTTGCTTTGCCTCTCCATGCCTCATTTTACTCATTGTGAATGAAGGTGATATTAGTATTTGATAGGATTATTGTGAGGATTTAAAGACATAATTCATAAAAAGCGGTTGGCAGATGCCTGGCTTATACTAAGTGCTCCCTATTAAACATAATTATGATGCCATTAAACATATATACACACCTATGTAATCACTCTGCTGCTCACAAAGCACTTTCCTGTGCATCATCTCTTGTAATCCTTATTATTTCCACTTTTTCTCGTAGGTGAGGAAACAGACTCAGAGAAGTTAGGCCCACAATTTTTAAGGAACCAAGACATCTAGAATCCATCTCTCCTTAACCCAAATGCAATAGGCTTTCTAGAATGTATCCTGTGGACAGGATTTATTTGCTTATCACAAGGGTGTTAGGGTCCCACTGGTAACACCAAGAGGAAGTAAACACACGTGTGAGTCGACCCTTGTCTTGAGTGGGAGCCAAGCAGGAATTCCAGGGACCCAGCCCTCCTTTCTTGCTTTTTTGGGGAAGGTGTTCAGGAAGAAGCTGGGCTACCACCTGCTGTGAATGCTCAGGATGGGGGGCACCTGCTTAGGTGGGAGGGCTTCCAGTTCTGAGGGCCCAGGTTTCTCTGCATGTCACCTCTCTCCGCAGTCCTGGGACCTATCAGAGAAGTCAGCTTGCCCAAATGGCATATGGCTCCATCAGGCCCAGATTTCTGGTGACCTATGAGTTGGGTCCTAATCAAAGGGAAAGCTTTTCTTTTTCATTAGCTAGGAATCTGGAGGTAGGCTGAGCATGAGCAAGAGGCATAGAGACTTGAAGATTCATTAAGCAGAAGCCTTGGAGATACCCAACAGATGAGATGGTATCAAAGATGACAAGCCTCAAATGCAAGGGGAGACAGAGGCTGCAGCAGCTGGAAACCAGGATGAGGATGGGACGAGGTAGACATAGGAGAAGAGAGAAGAAATGGAGGAAAGAGACTTGAGTGCTGGAAAAAGCAGGTCAGTGTGGCCCTGAGGACTTAGTAGGTTATAGGAAAAGGTGGGCTGTTCAGAGGAAACACTTTCTAGGTCCTGGTAACCAACAATTTCAGGCAAACTTTTCATCAGGGTAAAAAAACAGAATATTTTTCCTCAACATAGATGAAAAATATCTTTCTTTTTTTGCAAACCGTGTAGTCAACTTTAACCATTGACCTTTAGATAATAAAAATAATAAGATGAACTTTTAGTTACATTTTAGATTCCTTAGAATAAATCTACAAATATTTTGCCTAAATATCACCCTGGGGTAGGAGAGGGAAATCATGTAAGCCCCTTCATCCATGACACAGTTTGATCTTTTTGTCTAGGTTGGCATAAATAAACTGATTCTGTTCCCACAGACTCTCAGCACTGCAAAGAAGCTTCCAGAGCCTCAGAAACAAGAAACCTTTGCTGATCCAGGAAGGCACGTGGGCGGCCCCGTAGCAGCTGCCCACACAGTTTCCAGTGAGAGGAGCTGCTGCCAGGCCAGACCCAGGCCGGAGAAGAAAGCCTGATTGCTTCAGGAGAGCGTGTTTCCCAATGGTAGTGTTGCTCACCCAGTGCCCACAGCTAGCTCTGAAGGACGCACAGCCCATACCTGACAGTCCCAGGTTTATGAGCTCAGATCACCAAGACACTGAGAATGAAAAAGAGATTTCTTCTGAGGGGACTTACCTAAGGCCCAGGTGGGATGAGACAAGTGGCTGTTAAGTGGTGTGAGGAGTACCAGGTCAGTGTGATGAGAACATTTTACAGGGGTTTTAACCAAGGCTCATGTTTTAGAGAGGATATCCTGCCCTATGGGAAGGCTTGATTCATCCAAGATTTAGCCCAGCCCAGCCCCACCTCCTCTTGTCTGTTTTACCTGCTGATGTGTGGCTGCTTTGGTCTAATTAGCAGGCCCCTCCTACCACGTTTGGTGCCTTCTGCAGCTGAGTCCTCTTGGCAGAGAAGCATCTCTCCATTGTGATGGGTTCAGCAGTGCTTGGCACAGGCTGGGGTCCTGGTGAACATGCCTTGTCTCCATGAGCCTGCAAAGTCATGGGACTCTCTCCGTTTTTAATACAAACGGATATATATCTGAATATATATATTCAAGAATATATCTATTGAGGTTAACTTTTACTAAGTAGTCAGTCTGGGAGGTCACACATGTTTTTGTGGTGATGTGACTACTTAGAACATTTTCTGAATTCTTGTTTTGCAAGTGCCTTTCACACCTAGTGTATGAGACACACAAAAGCCAGTTTCATCTCTTTAAAGTTGGGTCTCATTTTTAATTAAAACAAAAAAAGTTAATACCTTCTGTGCTCCATGCTAGGGAAGCCTGTGAAGAGAGGCTTCTCATGCTTGTACACCTGATAACAAAACTATCACAAAAGACTGCAAAACCCACAACCTTGCACAAAGGCCATAACGGCCTTACACAATAAACGCTCTGTGAGGACATCTGCCCAGCAACTGCCTGTCCCACCTTATACTAGCATCACCATTGCTATTGATCTTTGTAGCCAAGAATATGCATTTTAATATAATTATGTAATTTTCATCATTTTTCCTGTAAGAACTTTCATTTTCCTTTACCTAGTTTTGCTAGTTTTCCTTTACCTCCCTGAATATGCATGCAGTTTGCTATGGCATGTGTATTCCCATTGCAATGCTCTATTCTCAAATAAATATCTCTTTTTCTTTTTTAAGAGATCCTCTCTATGGTTATTATTTAGGTTGACATCAGTGACTTGTTGTTTGCTAGTTTTATTTTACTTTATTTTATTTGCTAATACTGAGTGCCTACTATGTACAGACACTGTGCTAAAAACTGCACATATAATTTTATTTAACCCTTGCAACAACACTATGGTAGCAAAGATATTATCCCAATTTCATAGATGAAGAAATTATCATTAGCTAACTTAACTTCCCAAAGACAGAAGATAAATGGCAAAGATAGGATTTGAACCCAAACCTGTTCAACTTCAAAGCCAAGTATCTTAATCCTTCTGCTTTGCATCTTGGCTGAAGTTTCCTATTTTAAGTCTGGGAAATTCCCTTTGACTTAACCCAGCTCAACATGGTGTGTTCCAGCTTAACTACTGTGGGAACTAGCTGTGGAACCACAGAGAGTAACAGATAGGGGAAGTTCCCAAATCCAGAGGCCCTGTGAGATGCTGGGGACAAAGCCAAAGGAAAGAATCTCTCTTCATACTGGCACTTCTCTTCCTTCCCTTTTCCCCCTTGTTCAGTGGCAAAATCCAGAATGTCTGGCAAAAGCATCTGTAAGTTCAGCCCAGGAGAACAACTGGGCTTTCATGGAGGGGGTGCTTTTCTTTGGGTTCCCTCTAGTCCTACATCATGGTCATCATCTCCTGATTGCCCCAAACAGGGATGTACTTAACACACACGTGCACGCGCGTGCACACACACACACACACACACACACACACACACACACGGAGACTGGGGCAGACTGCTCTTCAGGCTAAACATCATCTGTCTAATGAAGTGTCTCTTCCACTGCAGCTTCACCAGTGTCTGCCGTCAGGTCCTCATTGGCTGACAGATGAAGGGGACAGGGAGATACTCTGGTAAGCTACCTGGATATCTGGATCCTCTTGGGTCAGGTGGCAGGTAAGTGTTAACCCTGACATGGCTGCCTTTCAAATTTCTGCCATTATGAAGGCAGCCAAAAAACCCAACCTTTAAAGAATGCTGCTCACCAGACATCTTCACCTTCACGCAGGAGCACACAACAGTCATAAGGTACAGTGAATGGCCGCAGGGTGGCCACTCACATCTCTCTCAATAAGTAGCAGATGAGCACATTCCATAATCTTGGGCTTCACCTTCAGAAAAGAGCAAAACCAAATCTGAAAGCCAGAGAGCTATTTCCTAGGGTTGCTTGGGTTATGAGGGAATTTACTGGTCCCTGTTGCCCACGTATCCTTACTGAAAGACAGGGTTGTGGGGGAATGGTTCTTAGAGGGAAAAGAACAGTGAGAAGCTCTGGACCTTCTTCTTTTCTCTCTGCTTAATTTGGGGTCTCTTTTCTCAAACCCACCCTGCATAGTCCCTGATCAAAAGATCCCGGAAGCCCAGATGCTCAAGTTCTGCCCTGGAAATGCAGGGAGGATTAGGCAGACACTGGAGACGGACCTGTTGACACAGTTTCCAGTGACTTAGTGAGTATCTCTCAGGCCATCTGGGCCTAATCCCTGAACGGACAGGTTGTGTGGGCCCTGCAGTTTCTCTGAGTTCTGATCTAGGCAGCAGGCACATGGCTAAAGCGATTGTTAGTGTCCTTGGTTTGGCCAGAAGAGCTGGACTCTGCCATTTAGTAGGGACTCTGAATAGCCTAGATCTAGGTGTCCAATCCATAGGTGGATCTAAGTGTCCAATCCATAGGCAGAACTCCTAGAACGTGCAGACTGGAAGGTTCCAAGCTCCTTTTTTATTTTCCCAGAGGGAAAATAACAAAAGTCAATCATGGCAGGAGCAGTGAGCTCCTTTTCCTACTTCACTACTGCCTCTTCTCAGAACCCGACAAAGTCCTGGTGGTGTCAAAAGTTTACCAATTTAAATGTAAAGGAAACAGACTAATTTTCTCACTATGTCTTTATACCTATCATAATCTCTGGTAAAGTATGGACCTATCATTCCCTGCAAAGCCCCAATTCCTGCTGCCTTCTTGACTTCCTGCAGTACTTTTTCCTGCCTCGAATGCTTCCTCTCCGCCTCCTCCATGCAAAGCCGCCCCTTCCATTCAGAACAACTCCAGTAGCACTGCCTCCATCACATATTTCCAGATGAACCCACTTCGATGAAGTCTCCTGCAAACACGTTCACTTGCTCCCAATATGCTTTTCTTGGTACATTTTACAGCATGTGTTTTACTCTACCAGCACTATCATTGCTTGTCTATTTGCTTTATCATCTTTTCTAGATTATCGCCCTTTTTGAAGACAAGGCTGGTTTGCAGTAAATATGTGATGAGTTGATACGAAAGCATTGCCCGTTTCTCTGGAGAGCACAGCTTTCTCCAGAAAGCATAGGGCTGGGTGCTATGTCACTTAAACTATGCCTGGCCCCATATTTCCACCCTTCTAGAGCTCCTGGGCTTCATTCCTATGCTCATGGGGATAGAGTGGGTACCTCCACATCTAAAGACAAAATGGGATTTCCATGAACAAGTTGGTAAAAAACTCCAATGCCCCTCTAATCAGGATGGACTGGATTTGTGCTGGCTTTAACCCTACAAACTTGTTGGTGCTGGTCTCCACTAGGGTTAGTCAGTTTCTTCCTAGTTCCTTCTCCATTAATCAAAGCACCTATCCTTTCCAGGGAGTTTTGTTATCTAGGACGAAAAGGTGATGACAGGGTGTTCTCGCTAACTGAGTAACAAAGGAGCACCAAAGGCATGCAAAGATGAAGGCCATTAAATAGGAAGTTACTTTAGGGGGCTGGAAATCCCGTTCTCATTTAACAGGAAGAGAGTTGGCTGCCGAGTACTAAGGGCCTGTGAGGCCATTCTGGAGGCCACTGGCTGCTGTTAAACCTAAGCATTCCTTTTCTTCAGACCACCTTGATGAAGCCAGTTTTGGAAAGATTAGAAGGGACACAGCCATGGTTCTCATCCCCAGGAGTGCAGAGACCAACATGGCTCCACAGTGTAACTGGCTGCATGACTTGAGAAGGCTCTTAAACCCTTGAGCCTCAGTTTTCTTATCTATAATATAGTGATAACCTTTGTTTCCACCAAATAGTTACTGTGGGATTAAAAATACACCCCGCGTGTGAAAGTGCATTGTAAACTGACAAACCCTGAAACGTCATCGTTGTTGTTATTTAAAGTAGAAGTAGGGAATAGTCCTTTTGAAGACCAAGAAGAGGAAGGTCCATGATACTAATATTCAAATGGATCACGCATTCTATCATTTAAGAATCATAATCTATAAATAATAACATAAACCCTGAAAAATTAAAAACTAGAATTAGAAAAAACAATGAGCAATATTTCACTAACTGTCCTTTTACCCCCGAAAGGATTTACTAAAGACTTTCTCCAGTCACTTTTGTATTAGTTTATGTATCCTCACTATTTCAGAACAAAGCATAGAAAGCTAATGTTAGGGGCCATTGTTTTCAGATCAATCCAAAGTAAAAATATAGTTCTCCATGGAATATAAAGAAGAAATATTCAACTTCTACAACTTTTGTGTTGCCAAAAGCTAGACACAGCCTTGCAGTGAGCTTTACAGTAAGTAGTTACTGTCATGTAGAACTGTATAGGACTCTCTGAGGCAGTGACTAATTTGGGGTGACCAGCCTTTCCATGTGAGTGCTAAGAACCTGATGTCTGTCTCCTTTCCTGAATTGAAGGTTTCAGGTGCTTGGTGGCCTTTGCAATTATTATAAAGTTTCCACAAATCCATGTGCCTGCCAACCATGGCTGCATAAGGAACCTGACACTATGTGTGTGCTATTACTTTTCAAACATAGGCTGGTGAAGTGGCAGCAGTGCCCAAGACACAAGTCACTTTTCTCCAGGTGGGCCTGACAACAAGGACTGAGCCTGACTGCCAAAGGAGCTGGTTATAGGCAAGACCGGGAAGTCTGGATGGTGACAGTGCCTGGCTCACGGAGGCCAAGATTCATCAGCTAAAGTTTCACTCAGGACTTAGCAAAATTCAGGTGACATCGACGTCCTGACAAGGAGCATTAGGAGACACTGCAGAGGAG